AAACAAGCGGACACGCGATGCTGTTACCGTCGTTGTTGTTAACCACAACGCATAAAAACAGGCGCTTGTCCGTCTGTACTGTGGTTATATTACATATAAGAGAAAGAGAGAACTTTAAGAAATTAATATAGCCACAACAGTGACCATCAAAATGATGAAAAAATATTGCCGTAAAGTTTATTTTGCGACACCACGAAACAAACGATAGCGTAAAATGAAACGATAGATGTTTTTATATCATCATCCGATATATATCGTTATATCGAACAGCCCTAGGACAACTTGATCCACAGAGGCTCAAACGATCTGGTGCCAGACACCACAGGACACCCCTGGAGGACCTGCCTCGATGACCTGAGGGATCAGATTTTAGGATTTAGAAGCCAGGTGGGGGAACTATACTAAATCACTCTATTCTCTGAAAAGATTTCACTTTGAATCTTAGAGATTAAAACGCTAGCACAGATGTGAAAACCCTGTTTTGTCCTGTTATGTTTCCCCTTTTACCAGCAGTCTGCAAGTTTACAGGAGTACTGTTTAGTTTGTGGGTGGAAATAGAAATAATTAAACACATTATGGTTTAATAGCAACTGTATGGTACTGCTGGGATGTCTGCGTATAACAGTTTCTGTGCCGTGTGGGTGTCCAGCCCCAACTTGTTTGATTGTATGTTTCTTGCTGCTCAAACTGCATGATGTGTGAAACTCTTTTTCCTTCTGCTTTCTATTGAGAGGACTTCAGGTTAAATGTCAGAAATAAACATGACAGCGATGACACTGGTTCTGTGGTTCTTCGAGATGCATTTTCCCACAAGCTTTGCTGACGCTAAACACTTAAATTAAAGAGTAAACATTATAAAAACAGCACAATATGACACAAACGAATGATAGTTGTTTGAATCTGAGCTCTTTTCATATCGATTATCTTTCAGTGTGAACAAAGCTTATTTAAAAGAAATGTGGATGCTGATGCAAACGCAATATCAGCTAGTCTCTATATCAGAAAAGATGAGCAGCTCTGTGGTCTTGCTTCTCTTTTTCTACTCCCACATTTTGATGCAGTTTGCTAGTCACGAACTGCAATTGCAATTTACACGACAAAGCAGTTAAATATCTTTACAAAAGAAAAACTCAAGTAGAACTGATATTCAAGGATAATCTGACCCGTTTAGCTCTGCTGTGAATTGTGCTGTTAATTCTGGTCATAATTCCAGGAGATTTCCCTTGTTGGCTGTTAGTGATGATTACCTGATGTAATTAATGCAACACATTTGCACTTCTCCCACAGATGGCAACAACTCACTGCCTTTATGCATGTAGACACGATCCAGATGATCTGCTGAAGTTTAAACTGAACTTCAGAATAGGGAAGAAAGAGGATTTAAGTGACTTTAAATGGGGTGTGTTTTTTTTTTTCTGGTTTCTGGTGTTTATTTGGATGGTAGGGTCAGAATTTGTTGCACCGTACATGAATATTTAGGTTTGTGGTGCTGTAATGGTGTGGCAGATATTTTCTTGGCGCACTTTGGACCCCTTGGGACCAACTGAGCATCATTTAAAGGAACCTAATCCAAGGGAGGAACCATTGTTGTGTCTACACATAACTTTGGTACTAGCAGCCTGTTGCAAAAATGCATGATTTATTTCCATGTCTTTAGTTCAATCTGCAAAAAATGCCAAAGATAGCACAGTTTGACAGGCATAAAACAGTATTTGTGCATCAACAAGCTGATTCCCAAAGAGCTATTAACTGAAAACTTGGCATATCTCAGTGTGGTGTGCAGTCTGTCCAAGTGGAGGACAAAAAAGAACCACGAGGAATAAAATGAATCCTATCTACTGAAAACGTACAGTATCTAAAGTTCATTACCTTAATAAATAAGACAAAGACCTGACACAGGACTGAGTGATACATCTATCAGTGCGCCCCAGGGCAGCTGTGGCTACAATGTAGCTTGCCATCGCCAGTGTGTGTGAATGGGTGAATGACTGAATGTAGTGTGAAGCGCTTTGGGGTCCTTAGGGACTAGAAAAGCGCTATACAAATGCAGGCTATCTAGACCTTCAGTGGATCCATCTACTGTTCACTGAAAGCACTTCAGAAATAGCTTCAGTGGAAAGGTGGAGAAACGCCTGAGGTATGCCAAACATCACAAAAACTGGACTGAAAACCAGTGACAACAGGTGGAGGCTCTGCCTCTGGCTTCATTTCAGTCAAAGGTGTTGGAGATCTTGTGAAAATCTACAGAATTATGAACACAGAAAAGTGCCATCAAATTCTGATCCACTGTGCAATACCATCTGGAAAACGTTTTATTGGCAATGGCTTCATTTTTTAGCACGACAATGATCCCAAACACATAGCAAATGCAGTACAAATATAACTGGATAGAAAAACAGTGAAGCATTCGTGGATTGGCCTCCCCAGAGCCCAGACCTCATCATTATTGAAGCAGTGTGGGATCATGTGGACAGAGAACAGAACAAAAGGCATCCAACATCCAAAGAAGAGCTTTGAAGAAGCCTGGAAAACTATTCCAGAAAACTATTTAAACAAAATACAGGAAAGCTGCCTAAGAGAGTTCACGCTTTGTTAAAGAATGAATGTGATCCTTCTAACAAGTTGTTCCCAATTCACACTATTTTCTCCTAGAAAAAATTGTAAATAAAATACTTTATAAAGACGCTGCACTGTCATGGACTGCGAAACCTTGGCGGTCCAAACAATGTAACTCAGTGTGACGTTTAATGTCAAACTGCTCGCAGCCAGATGGTCATACGATGCAACAGATGTGGAAAATCACGCTGTTCCTGGACAGGTCTGTGTGCGCACAAGGAGGCTCGCCAAGTCTAACTTATACTCGAGTCACCGTCGACACCGACAACTGACACCGATGAGGGATATCAGTGTGATCATTATCTGCACAGGAACAGCATAGATATAAAGGATTATGCTCTACAATATGACCAAGGTAAGAGTCTTTGAACTTGATGAAAAACACTAATATTCATTTAAAAGTTATGTGAAGCCACAAAAAGTGTCTGGATTCAGAAAACAGCTGACATGTTGCTTTCATTGCCATCTGCTTTTGTTCTTTCCGATGATAGAGTATCAGAGCAAACCTGTGGAAATCTTCCATCTTTCATGAGGGAGAAACACCTCCTGTATACCTGACAACAACACACACACACACACACACTCAAACTCAAAGGTAAGCAAACCTCAGCAGGCACCTTGTAAAGCTGTTCAAACAACCCAAACCAATGAAACGCTATAAACGAGCAGGACGCCATGAAGGGACTGACAGAATGATTTACAGGCATTTACATATTCAGAGACTGTAAACTTCACAGCAGTCTTTTAAATTAATTGTGATTAGTTGCGAAAAGGTCAAAGGTCACCTGAGAGGTAATTCTGTAATCCTCCACATCAAAGGTCTCCATAGATCCTCAAAGCATTCATGGTGTAACTGTGAATCACTGCGTGAGGTGACGTGCAGTATTTCAGTAGGAATAGGGACGCGTCCCCCATTTGGCGTGCTTGATAACCCACCCGGTAGACATCACACCGTGAAACCTGACAGTCTCATGTAACCTGTTACACATGTTACACCAATCAGAAGTGATTTTTCTGGACTGTTGCATCAGTTGTTTACTGCCGATTTTCCGTCAGGCACCATTAGTTTGTTGCATCATTGCCAATCGCTGTGAATGGATGACGACTTGCCGCAACATCTGCTCCTCCCTTAATCTTTGTTTTAACCTGTTTTTTTATTCCCTTTAGCTGTTTCTTTCAAACCGCTTCAACTACCTTTCACCCATTTGAGAAATTACTTGCGTTAGTTTTGTCAGTGTTAATTTTAAAGGTGGTGCACGCGGGCCCAAAAAGACATCGTGGCATCCAGAGGGAAAGCCTCAGCCTCCACGCCCTCATCTCCACGCTGTGATTGGATGATCCCCGAAGTGTTGGCTCATGTTCCTTCATATGTTTCTTAATCATTTAGAGGTAAACAGGAGACACATGAATGATTCGTGGAGATTTTGGGCACCAGCCGCTTCAGGAAGACATTAATCAGGTGAGCACCCGGTAACTCCTGATCGCTAGATTATAGTAGAAACAGTTTTGCTTAAGTGTCTGCATCCTGTGTTAGCTCATAAGTCTTGGTGGCCATGTTTTCTTCTTTGGCTAGCGCTGCAACCTTTATGAGCACTTTTGTTCTACATGAAATGGAGCTCTGTTCAGCTTAGGCTGCACATTTACATGCCACAAATAGAAATGGTGTGGTGCATGGAAACATGCACAAACCCACACACACAATTCCAGCAGCTGTTTATTGAACGTTTGATAATATTATGCACAGTCTCGTCACAGCTCTGTGGGGGGGTGTAAAAACTTTGTATATGAGGTTGCGAGGCTATTGAGGGTGTCATACTTGAACAGTTAAAGGCAAAAGAGGCTGAAAGGTAAGACGATTTCTGTTCATAACAATATGAATAAAGGGTGAGAGGTGTATCATTACTGAATTAATCAGCTGTAACTCATTCTGTTTATGATATTTCTAACATTAGCCAGCTGTTATTAGTAAAAAAAAAAATTAAATAAGACTTCAGTTTTACTTGCAGCATCAGGATGTTCACTTGGGTATTGAAGAGGTTATTCTTCACGCGTTCATTTATCTCTGGCTCAAGTGTCAAAAATACAAAAATAGGTGCCGTGCTGCTGTAAATGCAAACGCATGTATTGTGACAGTATAACTCCCAATATAGCAACAAAATTAGCCACACATAACTTAAGCATTTTACACAGTAAAGTAAAATGTTAAAGCAGCAGTAGGATAGCAACAGCTCTATGTCAACTCGCCTCTACCAACCATCACCCTGAAACACTTCAATACTGTGTTCCTGCTTGACTCTTGATTCTAACGGGCCTTGCTGGCCTCTTATCTTACAGATCTTTGCACATCTTCTCAATACTTCCCTTTCTGATCTAGTTGAGAGGTCATGGAGGTTTTCTACATCAATTCGTCTCTGCTCTTCATCTCTCACAGACCGCTCAACTCCACTGCGGTTGAGAAGACAGTGTATGAGTCCTGCAGAAACATGCCTGCCGTACTTATCTGGTATCTGAGCATGCAGTTCACTAACATGTTCCTAGGCATCCCAGCCAACGTCACGGTGCTGTGGCTCATCCACAAGAACAAACGCGACTCTTCCACCTCTGACATCTTCATCCTTCATCTGGCAGTTCTGGACGTCCTCTTCTGTCTCATCCCTCCCCTGGAGCTCGTAAACCTCGTCTTCCTCACCACGACTACCAGCACCTGGTACGTCCTGCGCTTCTTCTACGGCATCAAAGACTCCTCGCCCCTCTTCCTTTCTTGCATCTGCCTGGACCGCTACATGGCCGTGGTCCACCCCATCATCTTCACTAAGCTCAAAGACCGTCTGCACAGGGCAGTCCTGGCCATTGTGGTCTGGCTGATCATTCTGGTCTACGCAGCTGCCAAATGCGCAGGAAACATCGTTAACTTCGACAAGGTTTTCACGGTGATGATCCTCGGAGCGTTCGCCTTCATGGTGTACTGCAACGTAGCGATCCTCTGGGTGCTGAGGCAGTCGCGGCCTGGCGGAGATGCCATGCATCCCGTGAAGAAGAAAGCCTTCAAGATGGTCCTCATTATCCTGGCCATCATAGTGTTCAACTACTTCCCACCTGTCGCACTCTTCCCGTTCAAAGAGTACTTTTCCCCCGATGTGTTTCGCTGCTATATTCACTACATCGCCTTCGGCTTGATGGACTTCAGCAGCACCATTCAGCCTGTGCTGTATCTGTCCAAGGAGGGGCTGCCATGGAGCATCACCTGCAGCCAGAGGAGCAACACTTAAATCCAGCGGGGCTACATGTATGTTGGATGTATTCGAACAAATGTACTGCTCCTGCTTGATTGCATGTTGAAAATTATGATTAATGAAACATTTACCAATGAGGTAAATAGATCTAAGCGCCCTACAAGACCCCAGAATTTTGAAGTTCTTGGTTTAATTAACAAGAAAGGTCAGACCTACAGATAGCTCTGAAATAATACATCTTTAAGGGGTGTGGGAAGTTATAAAAATCATTGTTATTTTACTAGATTTCATAGGATAATTAATAAAGGAATGAGTATCTTAGAGGTTAGTTAGTGACACCCTCAAACAGCAGTTACAGTGGGTGCTGTCAGTAGGTGTGCTGTGACACTTTATGTGATTTCACTCTGCCACTGTAACATTTTCTTTAATTCAATTTTTTAAAAGAAAACCATGCACACCTATTTCTTTATATATCTGATTAAATAAACATGCATGCCCTTTTCGTCCTCGCGTGTAGCCATGTCCTCAGTTTGAGTCGCAAACTACAAGGAATCTAATGCACATGAGCGCAGACAACAGAGACTAATTGCATTTAAGGCAACGAGGAACACCAGCGATAAAATATCATGTTTGGAAATCAGGCAAAAACAATGGTGGACAGATATGAGTACACGTTGGTGAGATGATGTCGCCGCTTCCTTTTGGCAATATTTTACATATTCAAACCTCAGATACCTGCAGTCTGACCGCGATGAGGCAACAGGTCATAAATCCCTTTCATAAAGATGATAAATTTTCACATGCAGCCTCCCTTAAAATTCACGGTGCCATGATCTTCCCTTTAAATTCACACAAATACTTGATACTGGTAGCAGCAGTGGAACATTTGATGGTGTTGTGGAAAATCTAACAATAACCTGCAACACACCCAGTGAGCTTGATTTGAAGTGGGTTTAGTAAACGCACTGCAATGTGGAGAGAGCATCCCAGTGAAACACTAGGTCCATCTGAATTGTGGCCACCGCCCTAACATCTTATATACAGAGACACAGACAAAGAACATTCCACAAACTCTTACATGTTGGCCCTCTCACGGGGGGGGGGCTATACCTCCTCCCTCACAGAGCCAATTATGACCTTGTTTTCTGCTTGATCCCTGATAAGCAGAAGGAGTCCCACTATCTGTTTAACGTCTCCCATTACAATGGAGTGCTCTTACTATAGTAAAGTGAGAAAGTGATATTACTGTAACTAATGTGATATGATTAAATATGTGATTAATACACGAGAAAAGAAATCTGCCACCACAATGGCTGAAAGAACTTGAACCTAGAAGACAGGGAATGTGTAACCATTTTGCACAGAAGCTATTATCTAATTATTCAAGGCTCCTTATTTTATGATTTTAAAATAAACTTTTTTTTTTAAATTATCAGTAAAACCTACACTCAGTAACTCTTAGGCGGGTTTTTTTTCTAAATGTATTAAAATCCAAAAATGAAGCTCCAATTTTCTCACATTTGTTTAGTAGAAATCACTCTAGCTGCGCTTACAGCCCAGTCTTTATGTTTCTGCAAGCATTGCACACCTGGATTCTAGCACTGTTACATACCTATCAATGCATGAGACACTTCAGTGAAAGTAAAATCAGTTCACCTTACCACAATCTGAATACCACACTGTGGTGTGTTTTATTTTCATCGTGCACTGAATGCGTTTGAATGTTTCTGTGTTTTTTGTGCTTTTTTTTAAATGTATAAAAGCTCAATAAAACATGAAAATCTGTTTTCGTTAATGCATCTCTTTAATTTAGACACAGATTACACAAACAGGCTTTAAGTAGCACACAGGCGGACAAATCTGTTCATATAAACTGATATACAACAAGCAGGTCCCACAACAATCATGAAGATGGGCTTTTACCCAGCCGTAATGTAACTGTTAGCAAGCCTAAGCTAATCCTCTAAGATCAGCATGACTTACAAAACAGTTACAATATTTATAGAAACATTCTTTTAGTGACGTTATTACACAGATACATTCCTCTCAGGTCAAAGGATCATGTGCTAACTCTATAGTTAAAGCTATATACAGCATTAAATTAATCTAATTTGACCACGCTGCTTATTATTAAGTGAATGTGCCTGTGAGTGACATAATTATAGTGTTATTCTGGTTAAATTAAAAATTTTAGACAGAGCCACTGTTGAAGTTAATCTTGTAGCAACGACTTAGTGTCTTAAACAAAGTCAATAATTTGTCTTTCAAAGTAAAGCATTTTTAAAAACAAGTCACCATAATGGTAACATAGAGGTACATTAAAAAAAAACAGTGTGTTATGACAGACAGGGCTACAAAGGAAACAGATTTTCTTCCATTGACAATACATTAATACAGCACAGACTGGACAACAGTGTATTGCACTGAAACACACACACACACACGCACACGCACACACGCACACACACACACACACATGCACGCACACACGCACACACACACACACACCAGTATCAGTAGTTGCACAAATTAATGTTAACTTCAGTTCCACTTACAGGCTTTTTAGAGCTTTTAACCACAGCTCACAGTACTGCAGTACTGTGAAGAAACCTTCAGTCTGTTGTTTTCATGCCAGAATTATATGATAGATTTTTTTTCTGCAGATGAGGCTTTAGAGGTTCATACAATGAAGCAGGACTTGGGCTTATCAAGGTAACTTCAGGATTAACCCTGTGTTTTAGCATTAACGGGGTTCATGCTGAAACACGTGGTTAATGGGGGTATATCACTGGGGGTTTATCACTACGGTAACTCCAGAGGGAATAATCTTTCAGATCAAACTCCACTGACCAATCAACTCTCTGGAAAACTGGATCAACAATCCTGGAAGATCCCTCAGTGCAACGACACTAAGAATGTTTGTAGTTTTTAAAGACCATCTAAAATCTTTATATTTATGTGACAAGCACCAGTAAGAAATACTATAAGATTATTATATGCACATTTTTTCCTTTATTACAACCATATTATGACAATGTAACAATATTATTGTTTTATAAGCATTCATATATGGTCAACATATATGATCCTAGAGAGGGCGGTGTGTTCAAATCTGCAGGCCGGATAGTTTGGCTTTTATTTTCTATTACATTTTAAGTTTTTAAATTATGATAAGCCAAGTGATGGAGTCGTGACCAGCGCCCTTGCAACCCTGAACTGGATTTTGTTTTTTCAATAGATGGAGAATTTATGAGACACTAGCAGTACAGCATTTACATTAGGAGTTTGTGCTTAGTGGCTCTAGACGACTTTGGCACCTGAAGTCACAACTGGCTCTGTTGCTTATGTAAATGCAAGTTTTTTTTCTGCTTTCTGATCAAGTTAGAAATCCGCCACTTACTCAGCGTCTTGTCTCACATCCTTTCACTGGAATTCCCCCTAAGCTGAGATATAAAAGGTGACAGCTCATGCACCTCATTTACATGTAGTACATTCAAACTCCGTCTGCAGAAGTAGGCAGCTAGATGTGCTTAAAAAGCCCTAAAAAAGCTTGTAAGTGTACCATTATCGCATTGACTACAGTCACATACAGCACTCATTGTCAGTTTTTAAATGACTCACCTCCTACAGTTTTAATTTCTAAGGGTGTCTGAAAGCATCTCTGAGGCTGCGGGTCGGTCCGAGTTCCTTTCAGCCCGACACGTGTCTCCTTCACTCTGAGCCTCCTGCTCTTTTGTTACGTGCATCTTCAGGTGCTTCTTCAGGGAGGACTGGTCAGTGTAGGTCTTCCCGCACTGACTACAGAGGAAGATCTTCTCCTTGGTGTGGACTAGCTCATGTCTCTTCAGGTGACCGGACCTGCTAAAGTTCTTGCTACAGTATGAGCAGCTGTACTCCTTCTCGCCCGTGTGAGTCCTCTGGTGCAATTTAAGGCTGCTGGCCACTGTAAACTTCTTGCCGCACTCGTTGCAGCTGTACGGTCTTTCCCCCGTGTGCATCCGCATGTGGATGGTGAGGTGGCCCGCCTGGCTGAAGGTCTTCTTGCACAGCTCGCAGCTGTACGGCCTCTCTCCAGTGTGGATCCTGTAATGTGTTTTCAGGTCACCCAGGCCATTGAACCTCTTACCACACTGGGCGCAGCAATACGGCTTCTCACCGGTGTGGATCCGCTCATGGATGCGCAGGTTTCCCGCGTTGCTGAATGTTTTGCCACACTCCTGGCAGCCGTATGGCCTCTCCCCGGTGTGGGTCCGCAGGTGGACTTTCAGCTGGTTGTGTTCGTTGAAGCGTTTCCCGCAATGCGAACAACAATATGGCTTCTCTCCGGTGTGGCTGCGTTTGTGTATCCGGAGCTGGCTGGGGTGAGCGTAGGTTTTACTGCACAGATTGCAGCTGTAGGGTCTTTCTCCCGTGTGAGTGCGCTTGTGGGCTTTGAGGAGGTCGGCCCGGCTGAAGCATTTTCCGCAGTAGCTGCAGCTGTGAGCCTTCTCGCCGCTGTGGGTCTTGATGTGAATGTTGAGCGAGGTCGCTCGACTAAACGTTTTGGGACAGGTGGGACAACGCAAAAAGTTGTCACAAACTTCTAAAAACTCCTCTACAGGAACAGCAGGTAAATCGTCTCCTTTAGGGGTCACTGCTTCTGGCTCAGACACATGCCTCGTCCCCACCGCTGAATCCCCCTCTGCTTCTGGGTAATTTTTTGACGCATACTTCAGTTCATGCTGGTGGAAACTGTCCCCATTCTGCTCCTCTTCCTCAGTCTTTATGAACTGACCGTCCTGCATGTATTGATCTGAAACAATGGTGACTTTAACATCGCCTTCATCACCACCGTACTCATGCCTGGGCTCCGGGGATGGCTGCTGATGTGCGTATTCATCACGACTGTCACACCTGACCTCTGTGCTCTCATTTTTTATTGGCTTCATTGTCATATTCAGAAGCACTGACGCCTGAGAGAGATCAATAGCCTGGCTTTCATCCATATCTGACTTTATGGATATCCCAGTTTCCATACCTGTTGAGTTCACACACAGATGCTGTACTGTGTGGTTAGTCTGCAGAAAAAGGGTTGAAGGTGGCAACTCCCCCCTCATCTTTTCTTTGCTCTTCCTCTTGACGCTCTTCTTGTCACTGCTGCATATGGACACCTTGAACATACCATTGGGATGACTCCCCCATTCTGCAGCTGAGAAGTTTTCAGTGGCCTCTTCTTCATGTAGATCTGTGAATTTCAAGCAAAATAATGAGCAAAGCAGCAGCTTTTAACACAGCTAAATGTATGAATAGTATACATTAGTAAGTAGAACTGACCTAACCCCACTGACTGCATGTCTCTGGACTGTGGGAGAACATCAAACTGCACACTGAAAAGCCCCGGCCAGATGGTCGATTTGAACTCAGGACCTTGCTGTGAGGCAACAGTACTTTCTTGCTATGTTTGCACATGTTTCAATAAATCCCTGCATCTACTTTCAATTTTTTCTGGCAAAAAATATAAATAAATGATAGGTTGCTCAAGACGTTTCCATTGTACTGTATTTTTTGCTGGTTCTATACTAATTAGCATCCATACTATACACAGTATTACTACTACATATTACAGTAGACATAATTGTCCTTTACAGCGTTGGCTATAAATGCATTGTGCGGTGAATTTGCGCATCAAAAATCTATTTTATGCACAAATATATAAATCCAACTGCTTAAACTATTGTTTGTTTGTTTGTTTATTTTATAATTATGGTCATTTTATTTGGGGGAAGGCCTAAACCTCTTAGCACAAAATCTGCTTTTTACCTCATAAACATTTTGGCACTGAAACTAATTGCTGTGTTCTTTACTGATAAATAATTGGACAGTTTTGCCAATTATTCAGTCATTCTTTTGGCAACAAACAGTTGAAATAAGTTAAGTTTAATATTCATAATTGATAGAGGATTCAGTTTTCTTCTCATATTTTATTTTCTTCTTCCGGCTGCTCCCTGTAGGTGTCACCACAGTTGAACATCTGCTTCCTCTCTGTCCCTAGCATTCTCCTCTGTCACACCAACCCTCTGCCATGTCCTCCTTCACTACATCTACGATTCTCCTTTGAGGTCTTCCTCTTTTCCTCCTGCCTGGTAGCCCCAGCTCTTCATCATCCTTTGTCCAGTATATCCACTATCCCTCATCAAACCATCTCAACCTCACTTGTCTAACTTTGTCTCCAAACTAAACCTGAGCTTCCAGTCAAAGAAGTAAAGTAATCAGCTGAAGTTGTAGCTGTAAAACATGCACAGCTCCATTATTTGCATGTAAATGTTCATGGGTATAGTGTCACGTGGTTCCCTTGTACATAAGTCTATCTGATGATGGTCCAGGGCATGCTTTAACTAACATGTCATGAGCGACAGCAGGTCACCATACCTCCAGGTGCAGACTCTGTGCTTGTCTGTGCAAAAAGCAGCCGCTTCAGGCCCTCGTTTTCAGACTCGATCCTTTGTATTGTGCCCTGGTACTCGGACAGTGTCCGGTCGACTGAGTCCAGGATGTCGCTCACCGTGGCTTTAAAAATCTCATTCAGTGAAGACTCTAGGAACGTTTTTAGATCCACGGTCTTGGCCATTGTAGCCTGAGCGGACACAGCTGCACACACTTCACCAGATGTGTGTTTGCGCAAGGTTGAAAGTCTCTGGGTAAAAGTGGGTGTGTGCGAGCCTGCTGCCGTGTGCGGAACAAACAAAGCAGAGACAGCGAGGAGAGGACGATTCTGCTTGTAAGACGACTCCCAGGTTTGTAGCGCCCCTGCTGGTGTGGAGGGCAATTGACTGTTTGTGTTTGTACAATAGTGTTAAAGTTTCTTTAACAGCAACAAACGTACTTGTAGGAGCAGTAATAATCCGCATTACCCCAGCGGCAAGGATGTTCACCTAAAATGTTAGGTAATACTAATATTTTGATACCAAAGGCCATCCTGATGCTAATAATGCTAATAAATTTCTAGAGTATAGGTAACAAAGCAGTTCCTGGGATTCATATTTATATGTTAAATATATAAACCAACTTAACGGTATAAAAATGGTAACAGGGAATAAAAGCTTCAGTAAAACATCAGTTATTCGTTAGCAAACTCTTGCTATGAGTTACTGCAGTTAATGTGTTCGCTAACTGCTAACGAAGCTAACAGAGTGCTAATGCTAATAATATTAATGCCATTTAGAGACATTTAGAGATAAAAATTGACATGTTAATATAGCTATCACCGGACATTTTTATGTATATATTTGTAGGGCTTTCAATAAAATTCTTCATCTTTAGTTGCAAATTAAATTGAATGAAACTACCATAGATAGTTGCTCACCTCCCATTTTTTCGTATGTATACAGGAAACAGACTAACGTAAAGAAACATTTTATTTTATGAGCATTTTTCATGACTGACATGGGCAATTTTCACAAATGTAACACATATGTCAAAGTGCAGGCCTGTGCAGTCACAGACAGCTCCTTCATGGTACTGCAGCAAGGTGCCAATAATAACAATTAGATAGTATAGCTAAACATTTACACTTTTCATTCATAAACACAGAATTTGTATACACCCAAATACAGGCTATCCTCTTGCTTGGTACTTGTTGGACTGGCTTCTGTGAAAGTGCTGAGTAGACAACTGCTAAAGGAAACATTACATTTGCAAGTCAGTATCCAGCCAACCTACCAGGAAAACAGTAACAGTGAAGTGTAGCTCTACTGAACAAGAAACATTATAGACATAGAAAACCAATAAATGCAATTTAAGTATAATAAAAGTGCTATAAGGTCGTAAAACAGACAAAGTTGAATGGTTTCTCTATTGATACCTTGAAAAGGTCTATAGCTAGATTACATTGACATTACATTGATTATTGTTGCTCTATGTTTATAATAGATACTTGTGCTTGTGCTAGTTTTAGTTAAACAGGTGTATGATTGGATATGGTGGTATCATTTGTAGGCCATTAACTCTAGAAATTATACACAAACAACACCTGTCTCAACGGTTATTCTCGCTTTGTCACACGCAGTTTTTTGCTGGTTTTACAACTAGTGAGATACAGAGAGGCCAATTTACGTGGTTCCTCACCCCAAGTTTTTTTTTTTTTTTGTAAGATATTTCTTTGCATTTTACACCAGTGAAATAAAAGGCATACGCACAACTCTCTGAGTGATTTGATGCTAAATATAGGATGAATTGATGTGTGAGAGAGGAATGTCTTAAAAAATGTCTTGTATGTGTCAAACAGGCTTTTCTGCTCACAGTTGGCACCAGCAGAAAGAGTAACTGCTAATGAGTCTGGATACCTTCTGGTTTTTCCACATTGTTCCTAGTGGCATCTGAAAGAATGAAGTCGGGCCACTCCCCTTACCTCACTGGTGTCTCTGTGGTTGTGTGTGTATGTGTGTGTGTTTGCATGCATGCCTTTAGGCCAGTGGGGCGGGGGCCAGGCCTCTCAGGTGTCCTTTTAGTTCCTGAGTCATCTGCCAATCACAATGAACCTTTCCTTCCTCCTTGTTGCTGCCATTCAGCAGATCTTTTCCTCCTTTCCCTCCCTTTACTTGCTGTTCAGAGTGAAAAAAACGACGCAGGGAGACGTAACCACGAGTTTGGTCTAGTTAATATGGACAGGAAGCATGATGAAGAAGGTAAGGGAAGATGGTCCAGACTTGGGCTTGTAACCTACACTTAAAGGCTGCTAGGTGGATATGAGACTTGTTTGCTATACACAGCTCTGAGGCTTACTTGCAGGCTTCTCTGTGTCTGCGTGTTGAGTGGCTGTTTCTGTGAGTGCACAGCGATATAAAGCCGGTATAACACAGTGGTTTGCTTTTCTCTCCACAGGACTTAAGAACTCACAAGCTGGCTGATCATATGATGTCGCTTTAAAGAACCCAGAGGGGGTAAGTCACGCTTCACATTTGAAAATATTCCTCCTATAATGAGATTGGTTTTACTTTTATTTCTCTGAATACTATTATTATTATTAAGCCATTTCAAAACTTTTACTTCATTCGATGTGCCTGTGTTCCCTTTTTTCCCTCTAGTATCTTTTTTTCCGTTACCATTTATACTTCTCCTTTAATTTGTGTTAACCATCCCCCTAGCATGTAATTTTGGTGAGTATATTCCCATGCAATCTAAGCAACTTCTCGTGACCACACTCAGCTCAGTCAGAATATGTCTAAATGTTTTGGCTGAAGTCACCAAGTTTTATTCTTGTTCTCTCTTTTATTGTGTCTGAGGAATGTTTCCGCAAAGCTTCACAGCCGTCTGGCTTTCACTGGTAAAGTTTTTATCATCAACAATGCTACCGCATATAATCTGGTGCAAAACTGTTGCTGTATGAAACAAAAGTCTATCAAGGAGAGATTGAAATCAGGACAGCGCCATCGATGTTCAATGTGTGAGGGCTGCCCGTTACTTTTTAATTTTTATACCGTGCATTTTTATTACCGTCTGGAGAAATTAAAAGAAAAAGAAAAGCAACAATTTAAGCATTTTGTTTTCAAACACAATCTGACTCATTTAGAGTTTTCTCTCTTTGTTGCCTCCCATAATGTAGCACTTGCTGCACGCTAACAGGAACTGAGAAGTGAGCACCCACACAGGAAATGTGGTCTATCCCGGATGTTGGTTATCTGACGTGAATAAAATAATGAAGATAGACAGAAACTTTTCAATAAAAAGGCATTTTCCAGAGAGAGAGTGGCATAGATGAAGGTGACATTAAAGTAGTTGAATAATACTGATTATTATTTCCTCCCAAAGTGCAAAGGCAGGTGGTATTTTGGCCTCTGTGTTGACAGGAGAGACATCCATGACACTCTTTTGTTTGTGTCGATAACAAGCATTGTAATTAAAGCAGAGACCCGGCTTTATCCACAAGCCAGGTTCGCAGTGCGATTTGGCGATAAAACGATAAACGCAGAATGCAGACAGTTAAACTGCTCACCAGAAGCAACCCCTCAGCCCCTCCCTAGGCCTCGATTCTCTATCCTCACCATGTACACCTCTGACTCTCTCTTGCTTGGCTGATTTTCTGTGGTCAGGAAGTACAAGCGTGCTTCTGTGACATTTTACTTAAAGCTTGTTGCACTGCATAACTGCAAACACACACCAAGAGTTTGAGATCCTTGCCAAATGAACATGATGGGATAAAAATAAAATTACAGACAAAACTGGATTATGTTGCCATACAAGTGGTGAGTGCAGTTTAACTATAATGATAATCTGTATTTGAATGGCGGCAGTTTCTTTACAACTAAATATAGCAGCGTTTTATGAATGGCTTTTTTGTCTGTCAGCTAATCATCTCCCCCCGGGGGTGTTTCTCCATTTTCTTTTTAATGCGAGATTCAAAGAGCTTTAAAACGTGGTAGTAGTTTGATCTTTTGTATTTTTTTCCTTTTTTTAAAATTGTTACAGATCTGTGAAAGGCAGCACCCGGAAGGGGGCTCACCTTAAAAAGTTCCTGTCTGTCATTTGGCCAACGAGGACATTTTGTAGCCATACATCTGCAGATTTTACACCTCTCACCACAACCCACAAATACACTGATAACTACTGAGAGGCGCTTATGGAGGAGGACAGCTTGTGCACCTCTCAGACAGTTGCTACAGATTCAGTGCTTCAGCAAGAATCGAGTAACTGTATAGATCATCAGTCCATCAATTGGGAAGAGGAGGCAGCAGCATTGTCGGATCAGGCCAATCTCAGCCCTAAGAAGGGCTGTGATGCCTCTGAGGAGGCGGAACAGTGGGGCCAAATGATGTGGCCAGTGTGTCATGTCAACTGTACCAGCCCCCCACTTTCCTTTGCTACAGTTCAATGGGACATGCCCGATCCCGCTGCAGAGCAGCCTCTGCTCATGACTGACAGCAGCTCAGCCAATGAGCTGGACTTTGAGGATGTCAGCGCTGTGACGAATGAAGGCAGCACTTCCCCATCACTTCACGAGTCTCAAGAGGATGTCAGCGCTGAGCTTTTCAAAACGGAGAGCAGGGAGGAAGAAGCTGGCCTCGATCCACAACCTCTGAATTCAGAACCTGAGTG